CTTATGATCATTTCCTATGATGTTAATACCACATAATTATGCAATCTAAGCTTCTGCTTATTATCTGCGAAGTGCTAGATATATTCTTCTTCATTCTAGGCTTGTTAACGTTGTGTGTCACCATTGCTTGTGACGTCAGGTTATACACTTTTGGTTCTGTGCACACACCCTATTCCCATAGATAGCATTGTCAGACACTTTGCTTATCTGTGATGACTTGCTTCTCCTGTTTCTTTGAGTTCTCATTGCAACTATGTGCAATACTGATATAGGTCCATTTTAACAGAGCCAATATTTTTCTAATTTCCTGATAGTGTCATTAACTTCCTACTACCAATATTACCTGAACATGATCTATCTCTACAAAGTATTTCATTTATCGACTTTGTGCAGATTGATTAACATATTAGTTTCCAAGCAAGTGTAGTCAATATACTTTCGCTTATTTAGGTTCATATAAATAAATATACAGTGTACTATAGGCTGGTCAAACCGATTACACATTGATTACAGGTTAATCTTAATTACTGATTGATCGTGCCATTCTGCTTGATGTGCATGTTCTATTTGTTTCTACTTTCCTAATAGTGCTCGATTACATCTCCTATTTGATTGAATATTATCTGTCATGTGATAGATGAATCACGATAAAATAGGAAGTAGAAAATTATTGTGCTATCCATATACTCATTGTATGTTTGCATGCACCAGCATACATGGCAACGAGATCCCCTGCGCCTTGCTCCAAGGAAAGAGAATTAACACAGAAGGAAAGAGAATTAAGATAAAAGGAAAAAAGAGAGACTGCTATCAATCCTCTGCTATAAATCATGTGGCCTCGCCATAGCGTCCACCCTCGCAGCCAGGACACCACAGCGCCCTCCAGGTGATTGGTGAGGAGCTGCAGCAGCCCTACAGGAACCCGGCAAGGTCAGGCCACCGACCCAACTCGCCTTCTGCCGCCTCATCCCTGCCCTCACCAGGTCTTCTTTTTACTTTTTTTTCCCTGGTTAATGCATTATTCTCCCTATGGTTGCAATGCCCCTGCTTGGCTTCTCTGGTTGGACAATAGATGATAGATGATGTCCAGTTAGAAGATGAGGCATGAATTTCAACTGAAATCTGCAACCTGTGAAAATAGAGTGCAAGATTGAGTTATTGACAGTTGAAATGTTGAATGAAAAACTAATTTAGGTTCCTATTTTTTTCCAGATGAAATCTATGACCTGTGAAAATAGAGTGCAAGATTGAGTTATTGACAGTTGAAATGCTGAATAAAACAAATTTAGGTTCCTATTTTTTTCCTTTAAAAACTAATTTAGGGCTAACTTGATGGAATGGGCTCATTAGTATATACTGAAGATTGGGCACTGGGGTTACGATCTGCCACTGCCAGAGCAAGACGGCATCGGGCTAGGCATAGAAATTAGTAGCTGCGACCTGCAGGTATTAAGAAGTCATTTTTCTAATTATTCAATTCCGTACCTTTTCTATTTGTGGCACAACACAGAAATATGAATTGCAATATCCTGTTGCGTGCTTCTAAAAGCATAGTGTCATGTGATGTGTCTGACTGTCTTGAGTAGTTGAGTCTAACAATTGTTAGTCATAGTATTGTTATTATGTTAACTTAAGAGAATTCAGACTTGCTTGTTATGTCAACTAAGGGAATTCAGAATCGTACTGCCCCACTTTGCTTCCTGCAATTCCAAAATGAAGGGATTCACTCAGTGGTTTGTTGTGATAACTGATAAGGGTTGCCATCTGCGATTTTTATCATGGTTGGTGTCTAGCGATAGCCTGTGCAGAGCACCATCAATTGTGATGGCATTGCTTGATCAGGCATATATTAGTGCCTAAAAGATTAGTGGTATACACCATTCTCTTCAAATTTTAGGTTTTTGAATTTCATATTTGAGGGACCATTTTATTGTGTCTTTTAGATAGATTGCAATGGGCGTCATCGCCACATGCCATCTATTGATTTGAGACTTTGGGTGCAGATAAATTGCATCATTTTTTCATGATATATTTTAGTTTTCATACTTCTCATCGATGTTTCAATATAAAACTACTCTAAACTACTATATTTGTCTTCTATGGGACATACAGTAGACTTAAAGCTATATAGCGTTCTTTGTTTAGCGCCCCCCCCCCTTATATTTTTCCTGGATCCATCACTGGTGATACCCGATAATAGATAGAACTTTTTTTCATAACATATCTCCTGTTATTTGGTACTTTATGTTGTTTAGCATGATGTTTTGGAGACGATCCTAATCTGAGTTTACTGAACAACCGTATATTTAGTTCCTTGTGTTTTTTTTTCCTTTTATTATGGGCATGATGCTGTAGTTTAGTTTAGAGCAACAATTTAGGTAGCAAGTGACGATGAAGTATTATGGTTGCATATTAACTAATCCTTGTTCTTTCATCATGCTTGAGTGCTTTGGGAAAAGAAAACCTAACAAAGCTGATGAAAGGCATTTAGGCTAAAATTTAGAATGCAGAATATAAATTTTGTAAGAAGAGCTCTTCCACCGTATCTATCTGATCGTGAGCAGATATAGTGGGCTAAACTGCTAAAGTAACTGCTTAATCTTTACTGTCCAGTTCAATAACAAAAGTTGGGGTGGCCTTGGAACTTGTAAGTTCTCCTTAGATAGTTCTGTCTTTTGTTTCCTGGGCGTATTTTGATTTTGTTCTGACAGACTTTATTTTATTCTAGAAAAGAGAGAATCTCTGTTTTTGTTGAAAGCGGAATTGTTGCATAATCGGTGTACCTTTCAACTAAAAAGTCAGAATTAATCTCTGTTTTTGTTGAAAGCATAATTGTTGCATAATTCGTGTACCTTTCAACTAAAAAGTCAGAGGTAGTAAGTCTAAAAATCCCCTACACAATAGTTGTTAGGCCAGAACCCAGACTCATGTTCATATTAATTTCTTGCTATTTTAAGATGGAAGCCAACTGAAGTTTAAGATGGCATGTGTTTTCTACCTTGTGCTTTCTGATGCTGGCATGCGTTACCTACTTTATGCACATCTAGAATGCTAGAACTCGTGTTCACGTGATTCACCCACGCAGCCACGCTGCGACTGGAGGTGAAGTGCACAACTGCACTTGGAGGCCACCACGTCTATCTTGCCAAGGCACTCGCCGCCGGTTTCTGACCCATCGTCGAACTCTCCTGTGGTTATGATTTGGAATATATAGGTGAGTTCATTGTATACTTGAGGATCCTATTTAGATGCACAGTGTCCATCTAACCAAATTTAGTACAGTCACCTTAGAGGAGATCCACTTTCTTTCTAAGAATACATATGTAGCAGTTAATAGCAACACTGTAGTGGTTTTAGTGTTTCAAATCTTATTCCTTTGTATGAACTTTTGTCATATTATCTGTAACCAATTTCAATTTGTTATAATGACTGCACAATGCAACCATGTATAGAACAATATTATTTACAATAAGATGGGTGAGTTTTTTAGTTTACTTGTTCCTGAACCATAAGAGAGAACTGCATTGATTCATCATCTTGCACAGAATTTATATGCTACTTTGAGTCCAAATTATATGATGCTTTGAGTTTTTGTGTTGTAATTTCTGAAACCTTTAAGAGAGAACTGCATTGATTCATCATCCTACACATAATTTTCATATGCTACTTTGAGTCCAAATTATATGATGCTTTGAGTTTTTGTGTTGTAATTTCTAAAACCTTGATATGGAATGTTCACATATTCCACACATTAATTTTTATGCATAGCTATCTTATCTTATTTTCTATGACTTCAAAATAGTACTCTATTTAGTGAGACTTCTGCAATCTTTCTCTTGATCTACACTAAAGATCATAAAATAGACTTTATATATTCATCTAAGCCACAATCCACGTGTGTTCGCGTTGGCATGACTAAAAATGAATTTGTTACCCGTACGTTGCTTTGGTTACTTTGACTAAAAATTATTTCTAAGGCATCATGATAGCAAGCAAAACATGATCTCATTTTGGTGGTTTGATTTGTATCACGATCTATCACCATATACCGCAGTTCAAATTTTGTTGGCACGTGGCCACGTAGGTCATGTATGCTAACAAATAAATAATGTAGGTGTTGTAGTTATTTCAGAGGCCTCACATGACGTCATCAAGATAACAGGACAGAGGCACAGAGCACGCGAACAACTTTAAATCTTTAATTGCCTGCCGATCTCCATAGAATAATAGTATATTATGTTTAGACTGACTAATGTCATCTTGTATATTTTTCATGATTTTGGTTTCTTAGTTGCCGATATGGGTTCTGGCTGTCGGTCGCTCAAAAGAAAGAGGGTGTATGCTGATCCGCCGCCTACAATCACCGATACACACATCTACAGGTAACTACATTACATTTATCTTGTAATTGATCGAGGCAATCATTTTCTGGCAACATAAGTTTACTCGTGTGTTTTATCATTTTGATTGACACGGACGGGATTGTAGATGGGTTGAATTCCATGAAGTGAGAATGGAACACTTATCTTCCATATGGGATGTGAGTGCCATGGTTTTTTGAAAAGGCAACGTACGATATCACCATGGTTGAAACAGCTGTGAGACTGTAGGTTTGGCAAGAAAGGTCTGTAATGCCCCTGGAAGGTATGAGGGACTGTTGATATGTAAATTGATCGTAAAACACTGTGTTGTTCACTTAATCATATGTAAATTACCATTTTAGAAAGGGAATTTTTTAAAAAATTGCAACCACCATTACCATATTGTCCACATGAATACAAAGATAACATTTGACAAAAGATATATGGTTCATGTAAATGTCCACCATTAACATATGGTCCACATAATTATCTCCCTCTCGTCCTAACCAAAGCATCAGCTATTCTACTGCGAATGGTATTCATCGTATCCTCATTCTCCTCATCTGGACTCTCATCTCCTTGTGTTTGGGTTGTGCCACATGTCTCTTGTAGTAGGTAGTCCTCAATATATGCAGATCATCAAGGTGCTTCGGCCCTTGTTTTTCTGAACCTCACATGGTTGCATTTGATACCTTTCTCAGGATTATTGCACCTCTGAAATTAAATGAAACAAAGGGTTCATTAGCAAGTAACACAATATGAAAGCATTGAAAATGAACAATGAATAATGACAATAAAGTGTTTACAGCTAGGTGTTCATCCCACCATTCCTTAGAGCACTCAACAGTTCGCTTCGCCTCATTCCATCCAAGCCCAGTTGCACTATTCTTCAACTCCATGAACCATGTATATTCCTTTTTCATATTGTCCCACTTGTTCTTGAGTTGTTTCTTTGTTAGCTTCTGACCAGTTTTTTCTTCATACTTAGATATAACATTTTTCCAACCAGTCCTATTGAAAAATCCCAACGGCCTATTCCCAGCTTCTATCTCTCCTTTGCAGATATCAATAAAATACCTCACATTGGCATCACACCAATCTGCCTTATCAGCCATTCTTGAATGAAGAAAAAAAAACTTTGATTCAATTCAGTTACCATAACATGACTATGAGTATCACACCAATTTATGCAGTGATCAGTACCAGAAGGAAGAAGTACCCATTATGCTGCAAAGGAATACGGTCTGATACTTCTACCACCCAAGAACTAGTGTCTATCTCTATACTCTTGTCCTTCAATTCATCCATGATATATCTAGTCTGATACAAGTATATTTCATAGAACACAGTTTATAAAACCTTCATGTGCACGAGCCAATTTACTACTCGAATGAACAAGCCACGTGTTTGTTTTCTCAATATACTCCATGAATCAATAATGGCTACCTACTTGTATCTATGGGACAGCACAGAGCACAATGGAGAATTCAAGATGCTTGAGCTCCTAGAGACTCACCTCGAATCTCGACTCACATAATCTCGCCCACTGAAAGTGCCTATAGATCCGGGCTGCCACCACGGATTTTGCCCGACACGCCGCTCCTGCAGCTTGGTTCGGGGAGGAGACGAAAGGGGCGGCCACCAGCACGGCCCTAGGAGAGAGGTCGGCGGCGTCCCGCTGGAGGCGGCGGCCCGCTGCGACGGAGAGAGGGCGGCGGGGACCCGCTGCGACGAAGAAAGGGCTACGGCGGCCCATTGGCGGCGGCGATAGGGCGGCGGCGTCCCACTGCCGGCGGACAGGGTGGCGGCGGCCCGCTGCGACGAAGAAAGGGCGGCGGCCCTAGGGGAGGAAGAGAGGGCGGGATGCGCTCTTGCCGGGGAGGAGCGGCCGCCGCCGTCGACGACGAAGGAAGCGCCGCCGCCGGCCCGTGCGCTAACCCTAGCGCGGCCTACGGTTGTGGACAGAGGAGAGCGATGGTTCTGGACCAGAGAAAGAGAGGAGAGCGATGGAAAATATTGAACCGGTACATTGTAAAGAGTGGCAGGCGGGTAATTTGGTGCAAAACCAATCCTTCGCAGCCAATGAAAGCTGGGTAGGAGGTGCTGCGGGAATACAACGTCGCGCGAAGCTGCTTTTTGTTGAAGTACCGCGCTATCTCCGCACGCTTTGGTTAGCTTTCTACTTTTTGCGGCGGCCACGACACTTTAGAAGTCAAACCAAACAGACCCTAAGGCTTTTTTAAGGCTTCAGAGGCTGCTAGGAATTCCAGTTGTCACTAAAAATCGATTTCTAAATACGGTTAACAATTTAATTCGCCTTTGAAATAGATGAAACATAGTAAAAGTTATAATGTTTTCAAATGAAGTCAGGTGAAGACAAACTTTATATCAAATCTGTATTACTCGTACAGATAAATTTTCCATTTATATTCATTAAGGCCTAAAAATTTTAGATTTAAGTTTTCATAATTTGAAATTCAATATTTTAATTTTTTTCAGATGACATGTAGCTCTCCTATCAGTTCGTCGGAAACCTGAGAGGTACGCTTTTCAATCAAGTAAATAAATAAATATAATCGCTCCACAATCCAATAGGATCGAGTAAGGGATTCACTTGTGTTTAGGTGAGTGGATTTTTCTTCTAACCTCCAACAATCCAACTACCTCAACTTGCTCCACCATGCTATGGCGTTGCATCTCGTCACTGTCATGCTCTGCCTCACCACCATCCTCCTTCGTATATAGCCGGTTGCTCAATTATCTTTGACTTGAATCTCAAATAGCTAAGCTCAAGTAGCGACTGCATTAATTTTCTTTGACTTAAGCTCAACATGATGAGCAAGTGTAGGGACTCTATTGTCTTCGACTTAAAAGCTCAACTTGCTAAGCAAGCAGCGGCCAATGACCATCAACTTGTAATTCTACAACCTCGACATTCTTAATAATGGACAAATATTGTGAAATATATCTTCTCAAGAGGATGGACAAACAAAACGAACAGAGAAAGAAAGCCATGAAGAGAACAACCATCAACTCAATCCCATTGCAATCAGTTGTTCTTGTCCTATGGTCGCCAACGCTCACAAAATATTTCGAGATTTACAGCGGGGAATGAATGATTGCCAAAGGAGCCCTAAGATATAATCTACACTATATTCTTTTCAAGGCATAAGCCATGAGCGCGGTCTTTGAAGTATATTTTGACCTTCGATTGTACTTTAACAGCAACTATTATGGCAACAAAGTTATAAAATGTCACTCCAATCTAATGGTATCATTTTTGTAGGACAAAATTTTGCATCAGTAAAAACATAATTGTTGATCAAAGATTACAACGTCTGAATCTTTAAATTTGTTCGCGTCTTATAAAAAAGAAAATATCAAAGGAAGTGCAGAAATCGTAGATAGAGACGAGGCTGAGTTGCATCCACCGATGAGAAGAAAGAGATTAGCGAGAGAAACAGGCCATCGAATCAGATTGGATGGGAACGGGATGAGATCCTCGTAACCATTTGCCGGCCATTTTATTCCCGACGGGGACCTGCATATGTGTGCTCCCATCCTCCAGGACCAAATCCACGCCGTCCAGATGACACCCCAGCATATTGGCATTGTTTCAGATACACCCTCAAAAAAATAATCTTCGGTCTTTAGCTCCACTCAAATGAGCACCTGAGTAGTTCTTAGAAATTCTAGCTAGTCTTGTAATCACCAAGTCAATAGACTCATCATACTTTTGTCGAATCATAGTACAGATAGATATAGATATAGACGTACAATCACTCCCACACGCAAGCCCAACTTATCTGATTTATACATAGTTTATGTAATTCTCTAATTTATTACCTTTAACTATTTTCTTCCCCAAGCCTAAAATTTGTAGAGTTTGCATTGGTGGTCCTCATTTTCGCTATCCGATACACAAATACAACCTACTAATTGCAACATTACTAAATAATATAAATACTACACCAACAGTCCTAAAAAAACAATTCTCACTTTTAAGAAGTCAAACGATTTCAAATTTAACCAAACTACATACTAGAAAATAGTAATTTATGATACAAAATCAACACCATTAGATTTGTTATGAGATATATTTTTATACTAAACCTGTTTGGATACATGAATGTTGATATGATTTTCAATAAAAGCGGTCAAACTTAGAAATGTTTGACTCGTTTCAAACCTAGAATTACATTATTTTTAGGACTTCCCGATATTGGTGGATTTAGCGGACTTCCGCAAATTCCTGGTGGACGTGCAGCTTCCAACTCCATCCTCTGTACCATCTATTCCAACTTCTCTTCGTCCGCGCTCCGCGAGCAATGGCTTCCATCTTCTCAGTGATTTTTTTATCCGCAGCACCAGCTCCTTCATTCTTGACCAGACCGCACCTTGAAAGCACATGTTATTTCGAGATTTTCATAAGCACCACAAAGCCGCAACAAAGATAACATTTGTCAGCAAATGCTTCTTGTTAGTTAGCCAGAAAGTAGCCACAAACTCATAAGACCATTCACCACTTGGATCAATATTTTCAGCAAGGGAGGCCCAAAGAGCTTTTGCCACACAACAATCAAAGAACAAGTGGTAAATACACTCAGCTTCAGAACAAAATAGGCCAGTTTTATCAGATACCTCTCTTCTCTTAGCAAGGTTATCCCTCGTGAGCTTTATTTGTGAAGCCTTCGTATTCGTATAGGTCCATGAACTCTTTTCGTATTAAATTAGACCAAAATGCGAGGGTCCAAATGCACATTCCTCAACGATCTTTGTGCGTCTTGCTTTCGTTGCCGCGGCCGCATCCATCAATGGTCTTTATGCGATTCCGCCCCCAGCTCATCTTCTCCTCACTATCCCGCTCCACCCCTAAACCCAGAACCCAGCCCGCCGCAACCCTAGCCGCCGCCGCGCGCCGCCGGCACCACACCACCTCCGCCGTTACCTCGATGGCCGCGCCATCGGAGGACACGCTGCGGCGCGCGCTCGCGGAGCGCCAGGCCGCCGCGGACGCGCAGGCCGAGGCCGTGCGCGCGCTCAAGGCCGCCGGCGGCGCGTCCAAGGCCGACGTGGACGCCGCGGTCGAGGCTCTCAAGGCGCTCAAGGTCGAGGCCGGCGCCGCCGCGCGCCGGCTGCAGCAGGCGCTCGGGGCGGGCGCGGGTGGCGCCGCGAGGGAGGAGCTGAGGCAGGCGGTGGTGAACACGCTGGAGCGGAAGCTGTTCTACATACCCTCCTTCAAGATCTACCGCGGTGTCGCGGGGCTCTACGACTACGGGCCGCCCGGGTGCCGCGTCAAGGCCAACGTGCTTTCCTTCTGGCGCCAGGTGACGCCCGCGATTCTGTCTCTAAATGCACTTTGACCTCCCCTGTATGTAGTTTCGTCTTAGCTGATGCGCGTGGCTGCTGCGCGGCAACGATTGTGACATGTGTACATTCAGATGCGGAAAAGTGGTTTGTTTTATGCGTAATTAATCGATGTATAGAATTTTGTTTTCCCCTGAGGGGTTGTATCTATAATCGATTATGACAACGATTTTCTATTAGGACAGGAGTGTTGCATTGGTCCAGTTGATAATTTTTTTTCCATGCTTTAGTTGTACATTGGCGACTGTAATCTTGTCATAACCTTTTCATGTCAATTAGTAAGTACTGATTGGAAAATGCGCTATGGAAAATTAGAATTTTTTAGCCTTCCTTGTGTACTCTGTGTTGTTAGTTTCGGTTCTAGGTTTACGATGTGAATTGCTATTTGGAACTGGCTACATTATAGTGATTTCTTGTGTTTGATGATTCATTTTGTTCTACTTCTTATTTGCTAAGAGTACCAACATTCTTAATTTCTCTCCCAGCACTTCGTTTTGGAAGAGAACATGTTGGAGGTTGACTGCCCCTGTGTGACGCCTGAGGTTGTCTTGAAGGCATCAGGCCATGTTGAGAAGTTTACTGACCTCATGGTCAAAGATGAGAAGACAGGCACATGCTACCGTGCTGACCACTTGTTGAAAGATTTTTGCAAGGAGAAGCTCGAGAAAGACCTTGCCTTGCCCCAAGAGAAGGCTGATGAATTTAAGCGTGTTCTTGCCATTTTGGATGACTTATCAGCAGAGGAACTTGGTGCAAAGATTAAGGAATACAGCATTGTTGCCCCTGATACAAAGAATCCGCTTTCTGATCCCTACCCATTCAATCTTATGTTCCAGACATCTATTGGCCCCACTGGTCTTAGTGTGGGGTAAGAATATCTCCATCCTCTCTGTAATTATGTTCCTTCTGTGGTGATTGGCTAAAAAGGTCCAATTTGTGTGGTGGAAATAGGTATATGCGACCAGAGACTGCACAGGGTATTTTTGTAAACTTCAAGGACCTGTACTATTACAATGGCCAAAAGCTCCCCTTTGCCGCTGCTCAAATTGGGCAAGCTTTTAGAAATGAGGTTTGTGTTTTTTTGTCACATTTCTTTAAATGGCTACTACTAATAATTGCTGTGTTGTTCAGTGCCTCATACTTTGTTATTGAAATTAATAGAGGTTCTACACTAACTTTGTTTTTGTTAATATGCTTGGAATAATTTATACATTCTGATAGTTGACAGTACATTTGTTCATGTTTCTAAAAAGCAGTTATCGGCTATTCAAAAGTTGCTTAGATATTCCTTTTTTTCAAGTACTCACTACGTCTACAACGTGACAATCAGATCTCGCCACGGCAAGGTCTTCTCCGAGTGCGTGAATTCACATTGGCAGAGATTGAGCATTTTGTGGACCCAGAGGACAAATCACATCCAAAATTTGTTGATGTTGCTGATTTGGAGTTCCTGATGTTTCCAAGAGAGCTGCAACTCTCTGGGGAGTCAGCCAAGCTAATGAAGCTTGGGGAAGCAGTTTCAAAGGTTAACAGTTGCTGGCAATTTTTTCTCTTTCCAATTTGATATATTCCCTTTGTTCTTTTGTTTATATATGCTGTTTTTTACCCTGGATATAATTGTAAACTATTGCACTACTGTTATTTACAGGGAACTGTTAATAATGAGACACTTGGTTACTTCATTGGAAGGGTCTATCTTTTCCTGACATGCTTGGGAATTGATAAGGGTCGGTTGCGCTTCAGGCAGCATCTACCTAATGAGATGGCTCATTATGCTGCTGACTGTTGGGATGCTGAGATAGAGAGCTCTTATGGGTGGATAGAGTGCGTGGGTATTGCTGATAGATCTGCATATGATTTGAAAGCTCACACGGTAAGCTTACTGCATCTTTTTCACAACCTGGATAATTTATCAGATACATATTTTTTTGTGCTTTGGATATGTTGCTATGGCAATTGAAGTTGCTCATCTCATGTTGTAACTGCACTTGGTAAATGAATTGTATCATTGTCCTCTGTTCGGTGTGCAAATGTGCTGCTAATATTACCACGATTGTCTGCTTACTATCTCACAGGAGAAAAGTGGTGTCCCACTTGTTGCTCATGAAAAATTCTCCAAGCCTAGAAAGGTTGAGGTGAGACATAAAATCCACTTTTCCAGTTTCTTCAGTAGCTATATCTTAGTTTTCATGTTAAATACATGACAGTGTTTGCTTACCCATTGAAGTACATGGTTCAAGTTAAATTAAATATTACAAAAAAAGTACGGTTCAAGTTCACTACCGTTCTGAGTGCCAATATAGATTTTCCCTTTATACTTTAAAATGAACTTGTTATTTATGGCATTAACATGTCCTTATATGTTTGCTGATATTCATTATTGCAGAAACTTGTCATAGTTCCCTCAAAGAAAGACCTGGGGCTGGCTTTTAAGGGCAACCAAAAGATGGTCCTTGAAGCATTGGAGGTAACAAGTCTATCATTATCCTTGTTACGTGTGGCTGCTAGCTTTTCTGATTTCTCCCTTCCCTGAGTAAACTACTTTATTCTGTTGGTATCACCATATACCAGGCTATGAGTGAGAAGGAAGCATTTGAGATGAAAGCTGAACTAGAAACCAAGGGGGAGACAAATTTTAAAGTCTGCACACTTGGAAAAGATGTGGTGATTACAAAGAAGATGGTATCAATCAGCATGGAGAAGAAGCTGGAACATCAGAGAGTCTTCACCCCTTCGGTCATCGAGCCGTCATTTGGCATAGGCCGTATCATCTACTGCTTGTTTGAGCATTCGTTTTACACAAGGCCTAGCAAATCAGAAGAGGAACAACTGAATGTCTTCCGGTTCCCTCCTCTTGTGGCTCCCATCAAGTGCACCGTGTTCCCCCTCGTTAAGAATCAAGAGTTTGATGCTGCTGCCAAAGTTATCGCTAAGGCATTAACAACTGCTGGTATCTCCCACATTATTGACACTACTGGTACGTGCGATGCAATCGTAAATACTCCACTCCGTATAATGTAGGCTGAATGGACTATAGTAAGCATAAGCTTGTGTTTGTTTTCTTGCAGCAATTTCTATTGGGAGGAGGTACGCGAGGACAGATGAGATTGGTGTTCCATTTGCTGTAACAGTGGATTCGGCAACAAACGTGACGATCCGAGAGAGGGACAGCAAGGAGCAGATCCGTGTGGACATCAACGAGGTGGCATCCGTGGTGAAGCAGCTGACAGAAGGCCAAAGCACCTGGGCAGATGTTTCTGCAAAGTATCCTGCCCATGTTGGTCCCCAAGGTGACCAGGAGTGAAAAATCCTGCCACCCTCATGTCTAAGAAGGCGTCAGGATGGATTGTCTTCATTCTCCAATTGCCGAGAAGATTGACTAGCCCAAACATAACCGCTTTTGGTATTGACACGATCCAGCAAGGCAGTTTTTTCCCCTCATACATACATGATACGTGCTATAGCAGTTGGATGTTATGAAATCTGCAGATGTCACCAATGTTTTTGTTTCTTTTAAATGTCTGTTTCTTGATATATTCTGACCCATACAAAATTTACCATTTGAGTTACTTCTGAACTAGCTGTCCTTTCGTAAGGTCAGACTGAGAATTGTTCAGGTATCTACAGTGGAATTGGAATTTCAGTTACTTATCTCAGTTGCTATGTCTGTTGGTCTGTTGGTGCTCACCGCTCAGCTGGAGTCTTACCAAGCAAGATGATTCTGTTTGGAATCTTCCAGCCTAGCTCATGACTCATTTCCTTAGAGACTAAGGCAAAGTGATGTCAACAAAGCTGTTGGACAATTCAATGCCCTTGTCACCTTGTGCACAGGCTTTCTCAAGCCTTGCACCTGCTCCTTCTTCTTTTTTTTTTTTGATAAGATTGCGCCTGCTCCGTTGAATTGCTTTGATCATAGTCAGAGACGCTACGTTGCTAGTGCTAGTCACAGAATTTTCGATGGCGTTTGCCCGATGGCGTTTGCCCATAAAAACCGCTGCAGTTCTCTGCCGGCGTTTCCAATGGTCTAACAGGGTGGCCCCCGTCTTTCACACGCAGTTGCGGAGCTTGACTGAACAAACAAGAGAGTTAGTCCATATAATTGAGCTCTATACACTCATAAATAATATCAAAATTATTGTTTAATCAACCGATATTGAGCTCTAAACACTTATAAATAGCACCAAAATTACTGTTTATTCAATAGAGATTAAGGGTGCTTTTGGCAGAGATGTTTTCGGTTCCAGTAGAATCACTGCCAAACGCCACGAAGAGAGATGTTTCAGAAAGTATCGCTTGGAACTAATTCTTATTCTCATACTAGTTCACAGAGACACCCAAAATATGGTTTCTCTTAATTCTAGTTCTAGTTTCAAGAATTCATGAGCTAGTCAAATACTTTCACAAAGTGACCAGCAGAAAAAAAAACGTTTTAGAGAGAGAATATGGATCTACAATGTTTCTAGAAGAATATAAATCCCTACCAAATACACCCTAAGTTGGACAAGGGAGGCCATGGTCCACCTTGGCCTCAACTAAACTCCGCCTTGAACATATAATAGCAAATATGTCCATGCATTATCATGGTTATGTACTCTTTTCGTTTTAAAAATACTGTACATCTTGTTTTTTGAGAGTCAAAATTTTTTAATCTTGAATAAATATATACTCCCTCCGTTCTAAATTATAAGACTTGGCATTCCTAGATACATTGCTTTTGTTATGTATCTAAACATAGTGTATATCTATGAAGTAAAAAAAAAACCAAAACGTCTTATAATTTAGAATAGAGGGTGTACAAAGTAATATTTATGAAATGTAGAAGTATCATTAAATATAATAGAATTTATTTTTATAATAAATATATTAGGGATACAACTGTTGATAAAATTTTTTATAAATCAGTCAACCTTAAAAAATAGCTTCTTAAAAAGTGAGTCGTGCAATTACTTTTGAGACAAAGAGAATAGTGTATTGCATAGTCACCTATATGTCTTGCAATTCAACGATCCCGTCAACTGTTCCAATATGTTTTGAGATCAGATTATCTATCATAATCAGACACATATTGTTTTAACTTATATGAGCATATATCGTGAGTTTAAGATAATGACGTGTACATATAGGCATTGTGGGAAGTATAATTCTCTAACTATAACTATATGCTAAATGTGTGGGATTGTATCTGCATCTTCACTTGGTGGACATAATTAACCGAGAGTTAAGCAATTCTTTGCTCATGAGACATGTGCTGGGTGGATCAAGCTTCAAGCACATCAGGGTCATAGAAGAAACATATTAGTATGTTGTTTTGTCCCGACAAATGATGGAAACATGTTCTTGGAAACCACGTAGACCCACTCACAAAAGAAATCCATATACACGTGCAAGTTTAAACCAATCACTCTTATCTCTAATTCATCACCATACCACTACTCGTAGTAAAACCAGCCAGAAAAGACGGATAAGAGAAGAGAGTGAATGGAGAAAATTTAGAGGATTTTTTTTTTCTCATTTTAATATTATACTAGCAAACATACATGTGAGTTGCAACTACGATGCGGCATGGTTCCAATTCGTTTGGGAATTACACTTTGTATCTGGATAAGCCCTTAACTCGTATGGGCATGGAAGAGAGTCACGAACCATGATTACAATTTGTTTTAGAATCAGACTTCGTACACTGCTTGGATACGCTACTCTAGTTTGTGGGAAGGAAAGAGATTAGGTCCTCAATCCTCATCGAACAGTTGTGGGCGATGAAAGACAAAAAAATATTAGCCTCTTTAATATTAGGTATTAGAGATAGATATTATAGATATATCTAGAAATCTTAGCCTCTTTAATATTAAGGATTAGAGATAGAAATATATTTAGAAATCTTAGCTCTTTAATATTAGAGATAGAGATATTATTATAAATCTTAGCCTCTTTAATATTAGAGATAGAGATAGAGAGATATATCAAGAAATCTTAGCATCTTTAATACTAGAGATTAGAGATAGATATATATCAAGAAATTTTAGCCTCTTTAATAGTAGAGATTAGAGATAGAGATAGAGATAGAGATAGAGATAGAGATAGATAGAGGTGAATTTATATATCTACCATTTCTTATTGGCCCGTTAACCTGTCCCGCCTCATTTCACAGCCATCTTTGGTTACCGAACAAATTGTATGCAAGCTTAAACTAATTAGTACTGCTATCTCTGATTCATGACGTATTACTACTACTTTTATTAAAAACCGACCAAAACAAAAGAATCGGGGAGAGAGAGTGCAGGACCGAAATTTAGAGGGTTTTTTCTTCTTCTTTATTTTCTTATTATATAGGTATATAATTATAGTTCTAGGTATAGATATAAATATGAGAGTTGCCATAATTTAGCCTTTTAGGTGCCTTAATTTTCATACAATAATCCTAGATAAACAACGGGTACAATTAAAGGGACAACTCACAAGAGAATTTTAAATTTTTTCTATAATCAAACAATATCAACACTGCATGTTCACTGAATAAGAATAAAAAATTAGGCACCATAAATATTATAGTCAATGATGACAACAATGCATGTTCACCCTATAGTAACAAAAAAACGAGGTGCCATAAATACTATAGCCAAGGAATGACAACATTGCATAGTGATCGAATATTAATATTTAATTAATCAGGACCCCTACATAAAGGGGACAGATATAAAATTAGTTAGCCTTTCAAACCTGTCCCGTCTCATGTGACAGCCATCTTGGGTCACTCATGGACTCTCCTCTGATGGAGCCCCTCCTAGTGCCCAAGGACCACGCTCCGGTTGTCGCCGCCACGCCGGGCGAGCACGGCGGTGCTGCGGCCGACGAGAGCAGCACCGTCGTGGTCACTACGAGTGGCCCGGCCAGGGCACTCGCCGACGCCGAAGAGAAGACAAACGACGACGGAGACGTACAAGGGGACGAGCTGTCCGCGTCCGTGCAGCGCCGGTTGGACGAGAGCAGCGGCGTGGAGAAGGAGGATGAAGAGGAGGAGGAGATTGGTGACGACGCGGAGGCCGACGACATGGCGGCGCGCATGGGACGCCGGCTGGCGGCGCTGTCCGGGAAGGCGCACGAGAGCGAGCCGTTAACCATCTTCCGCGTGGCGGGGCCCATGCGCGAGCGCAACCGGCACCTCTACGACCCGCAGATGATCTCCATCGGGCCCTTCCACCGCGGCGGCGGGCGGCACCTCGCGGCCATGGAGGCGCACAAGTGGCGGTACCTCCGCGACATCCTGGCCCGCCCCGGCGGCGCGACGCTGGCCACGTACGCCCGCGCGGCGCGCGCGATGGAGGCCCGCGCGCGCCGCCGGTACGCGGAGCCCGTGGCGCTGCCCGCCGCCGAGTTCGCCGAGATGCTCCTCCTGGACGGCTGCTTCGTCGTGGAGTTCTTCCTCAAGGGCCAGGAGAGCGAGGAGGACGCGCTCATCGACGCGACGTGGGCGATGCAGAACGTGTACAACGACATCCTGCTGCTCGAGAACCAGCTCCCCTTCTTCGTCCTCGAGCGCTTCTATGATCTCGCCACGGGCGGGCTCGGCCGGGACTACTTCGTCACCAACGTCCTCGTCAACTACCTCACCGTCAACATGAGCGCCGGCCCGCGGGACCCCGAGAGCACGCGGCCCCCCGACGGCGAGATCCACCACCTGCTGCACCTCTACTACCACTGGTTCCTGCCGCCGGAGGACCGGCTCGGGAGCGGGAGCGGCGCTACCAGCAAGAGCGAGGACGAGGCGCTGGAGGAGATGACGTCCAAGTCCATGGACGACGACGAGCGCACGCCGTGTCTGCTGCCGCCGGCGTCGGAGCTGCAGGACTCCGGGGTGACGTTCCGCGCCAAGAAGTCGCCGCGGAGCATGGTGGACGTGACGTTCGACCGGCGCGGCGGCACGCTGGAGATCCCGGCCGTGGAGAGCTACACGAACCACGCCATCTTCGCAAACCTGCTGGCGTACGAGCAGAGCCGGGGCCGGTGGGAGCTGCAGCGGCTGGTGAGCTACGTGCTGCTGATGGCGTCCGTGGTGGACGCGCGGCGCGACGTGGAGATCCTGCAGCGGGCCGGCGTGTTCGTGGGCGGGGACGAGGAGACGGCGGCGTTCTACGCGCACCTGGGCGAGCTGTGCCCGCCGCCCGACTTCGTCAACAACTACTACGCCGGCCTGTTCCGCGACGTCCGGGAGTACTGCGGCCGCAGCTGGAACCGCCACCGCGCCGTGCTGGTGCACGACTACTTCAGCAACCCGTGGACCTGCATGTCCGCCGCCGCCGCCGTCTTCCTGCTCGTCCTCACCGTCGTGCAGACGATCTACACCGTGCTGCCATACTACAGCCCGAATTAACCCCGGCGAGATTGGCGTTTTACCGCCGTCACACAGATCGGGTGTTGTCCTGTGTTTTTCCTGCAAGCGATTATGCGGATCAAAGTACGCTTCCTATGTTTTTCTTCTTCAATTTCTCCAACAATCCAAAAGGGGATCCATATGAATGATAATCCTATGTTTGTTTTCTTTATTTCTCCTATAAACAGTCCCTTTTCAGCTTGTAGGTAGCTTGTTTATATCTAGTTTAAACAGGTGGGTTTCAAATGTAGCATTTCTATAAAATGAGTCATTGTCATGATTTATCCTGAACAACTAAGTTCCCCCTTTCCCCTTTGGAAAAAAAAACTAGTTCTCCAGATTTTGGCTCGACGCATGCTTTATTTTTCGATTTCGATCCGGGCTCCCCTCACGGCCTTCACATATGTTCTCTCGTCCTCGCCCAGATCATCGGAATATATACGAACAAATGAATGCTCTTTTGAAATTGTGTAGTCCATGGTTGTTAGAGTACGACGTTGGTCACGTCGTGAATAGGGACTACGATAATGCTCCAGACGTCTGTCCCGCATCTAGACGTCACACGCTACGTGGTTTCATGGTGTCCACGTATTTTATTTATCATAAAAATATCATTTCCGGTTCCATCTCGTCTCTCTCCTCCGTCTCTCCATTCAAAGCAATAGGGAGACGAAGAATGTCAACACGCTCGACGCATGGCCGCTATGCTCTATTCACGCCTCCACTCGTCACCTCGGGTTCGCGCAAGGGTGGAGACCGAGCCAGCGCCCTCTCTCCCTCTCCCATTTGCTCTCCCTCGCTCCGCTCGAGAGTGCAGGCACCGAGGGCCATGGCCGCCCGCCTAGTTTCCACAGGCACCGCTAGCTCCCGTGCCTCTGAGCGCTCTCCTCCATGCAACCTCCATCCAAACCGACCACCCCATCGGCTTCCTCACCCCACGCAACCGCCCCGCTGAGCTCCGCGCGTCACCGAGCTCCGCGCCGCCGGCATCTAAGTGTCGTCGCTGAGCTCTGCGTGCGCTGCAGTCGGCGAGCTGCGTGTTGCCAGCGAGCTCTGCGCCGCTGAGATCCGCGCCGTCGATGAGCTCCACACTGGCAACCTCCATGGCATCGAGCTTCGTGCCGGCATCGAGTTCCACGTCGACGAGCCTCGATTCGCCTAAGCAGCAAGAAGATGTTGCGCTGAAAAGCGCATGTTGCAAGCATATGTTTCAAGTGTTTCAGGTGTTTCATATGCATGTTGCAAGTGTTTCATGTGAATGTTGCAAAAGTAGATCGGGGTGTTGTATATGTTGTAATTGCTATACACCTATATTTCAAGCGTATGTTTAAATGTACGTATGTTGCACGTGTTTTATCTAGGTGTTGCATATGTTTCATACTTATGTTGCAAGTGTTTCATCCAAGTATTGCATATGTTTCACACATATGTTACAAAGTGTTTTGTCTAGATGTTGCATATGTTTTGCAATGGCTACACACGTGTTTTCCTCGTGTTTCAGATGTATGTTGCAAATGTTTTAACTGTTTTGAACGTATGTTGCAAATATTTTCTCTAGATGTTGCAAAAATAGATCTGGTGTTGCATATGTTATAGAGGGACCCATCTGCAGCAGCAACCTGCTACAGCTGTTCGGCCCGCCTTCATACACGTGGGTGTGAAGGGGACGCAAGTGGTAAGGGTGGGAAACCATGCGGGCGAAGATCGAGACGGAGTGGGCGCGGGACATGGAGTGACGTGGGCCCTCACGTGAAGTAGGCGTAGGCGTGCAGGCGGGCGCAGTAGCATGCCTACGTGAAGTAGACGCGAACGCCCGAATGCTAGCCTTTCCAGAGCTATTAACATACGTGTCAACTGGGGGCGGATATGGTGGTCATGTGTGTGTTAAATAAACGCATCTAGTTCCTGAGCTAGGTTGGAGATCGAAGCATGGATTCCGCGGCGGAGGACTCGTGCAACGTGGATGGGGCCGGCGACGTCGATGACCTAATCAGCGGCCTACACGATGACGTGCTCCTCCACATCCTCGAGTTGGTGGCCGACGCGACGGACGCGACGCGCATGGGCGCGCTCTCGCGGCGGTGGCTCGGGCTCTGGGCGCATGTTCCCGCGCTCTGCTTCTCCTCTTGCCCGCTGGCGGTGTCATCCACCACGGCGACCTAGCGGTGCGCAGCCTTGGAGCGGTATGTCTCCTTCATCAACGACGTCCTTTCCCAGCGTGGTAGTCGTACCCAATCCGGCTACGCCGCCATCGAGAGCCTGGCGATCTCGTGTACCATGGGCTCTGAGCACCTGGAACAACTAATAATGCCGGTGTTGATCGATGACGCGCAAGGGTGGATCTGGTACGTTTCTCAGCAGGGTCTGAAGTGCTTCATCCTGGATCTAGATTGCCATGACGTCAAGAGGGAGTACGCCGGCAAGCAGGGTTGGAAAAAGGAGCTCATGGTAGTGCTTCTTGACGAGCTTGCTAGCCCTCCAAGGCTGCTGGAGACCATGCATTTGGCATTAGGTGGCGTCAACTCCACCGAGCATCAACTCCACTGAGCTCCCGAAGCTCGAGAATTCGTCGACTCCAGTAGTCCTAGACTGCAACGAGGCAACCTCCTCAAGTGCCTTCCCCCCGACCGAGAAAACCAAGGCGGTGGGGATCGACCCCGCCGACCCGACCAAGACGGTGCGGATCGGGACCAAGCTCCCGGCCAAATACGAAAGTGAGCTCGCTAACTTTCTACGCGCCAATCATGATGTCTTTGTGTGGAAACCTTCTGACATGCCAGGCATACCAAGGGAGGTCACCGAGCATACTTTACGCCTCATCCTGGGCTAGAAGCCCGCCAAGCAATGCTTACGTCGCTTTGACGATGAGAAGTGCAGGGCCATAGGCGAGGAGATCGCCAAACTCCTAGCAGCCAAGTTCATCAAAGAGGTATACCACTCCGACTGGCTAGCTAATCCTGTTCTTGTGAAAAAGAAGACCGGGAAATGGAGAATGTGTGTTGACTGGCCTCAACAAGGCGTGTCCAAAGGACCATTTTCCTTTGCCATGCATAGACCAGATAGTCGACTCTACCTCAAGATGCGAAATCCTCTACTTTCTGGATGCCTACTCAGGTTACCACCAGATCGCGATGAAAGAGTTCGACTAAGTCACGACTTCATTCATCACCCTGTATGGTTCGTACTGCTACGTAACCATGCCTTTCGGTCTGAATAACGCCGGCGCCACCTATCAATGTTGCATGCAGCGATGCTTCGCCGACCAAATCGACCCACCCGACCAGTCTGACTAAGTCGAGCGACCAAAACCAACAATCGTCGTCTATGTAGATGACGTAGTGGTGAAAATGGCTCAAGCTAGCGACCTGATCGCAAACTTGGCCGCAACATTCGCAAACCCCCAAAGGTTCAATATCAAATTGAATCCTGAAAAATATGCTTTTGGAGTTCCGAAGGGGAAGCTCCTTGGATACATTGTATCTGAGTGCGGCATCGAAGCCAACCCCAAAAAAATGACGGCCATCTCTAACATGGGCCCTATACGCAACTTCAAGGGCGTATAGAGGCTCACCGGCTGTTTGACCGCCCTAAGCCGGTTCATCTCTCGACTAGGGGAACGGGGGATGCCCCTCTATAAACTTCTCAAAAAGAAAGATGCATTCTTCTAGACAGAAGAGGCACAACAGGCCTTGGAAAGCCTCAAAACAATGCTGACGTCGGCCCTAGACCTCGTCGCTCCCGAACGGGGATAACTCCTCCTCTACATCACGGCAAACAACCACGTTGTGAGCGCCGCCCTCGTCGTCGAAAGGGAGGAGCTGGGACGCCCCCTAAAGGTGCAACGATCGGTGTACTTCGTCGGTGTGGTACTCATCGACGTCAAGGCTCGATACCCCTAGGTGCAGAAGCTTCTGTACGCCATTCTGATGGCGACTCAGAAGCTCCTGCACTACTTCATCGACCACGAGGTCATGGTCGTCACCTCGTACCCGCTGGGAGACACCATCCGCAACCGTGATGCTGCGGGACGAATCTCTAAGTGGGCTCTCAAGCTCATGGGTCACGACATCAGATATGTCCCTCGCACCGCTATCAAGTCTCAGGCTCTCGCTGACTTCATCGTCGAATGGACGGAAGTCCAGCTCCTGACCCCGGACATCACCCACGAGTACTGGACAATGTACTTCGATGGGTCGGTTATGGCGCCCGGCTCGGGGACTGGAGTGGTTCTGATCTCCCCGGATGGGAGCAGGCTCCGCTACGCGATCCGTCTCCATTTTTTGGCCTCAAACAACGCCGCAGAGTACGAGGCCCTCATCAACCGACTGCGCATCGCCGTCGAGCTCGGCGCTACGTGGTTGTACATCCGTGGCGAGTCAAAGTTGGTCATCGACCATGTCATGAAGGAGTCCTCCTGTAAGAGCCCTCTCATGGCAGCATACTGCCAGGAGGTGCACAAGTTCGAGGACAAGTTCTGATGGATCAAACTACATCATGTCTCCCGAAAGGACAACGATGCCGCTGATTTCCTTGCAAAATTGGCTGTTAGGCGGGTTCCGTCTCCAGATGGGGTCTTCATCAACGATCTCCACGAGCCATCTGCCAGCATTCTGGAGGATCCGATCCAGACACACTCCGACACCAATCTAGCACTCGAGGGCTCTGACCTCCTGGCGTGCCTCGACCCCGACCAAGTGCTCAGGGGCTCCGACCTTTATGCCTCCATGATGACATCGCCCGCCGACATCACCGTGGTGCCACTCGATCAGGCTGACTAGAGATCACCACTACTCACCTACCTCCTCGAGGAGGTTCTCCCACTAGAAAGGACTAAAGCGCGATGGATCACTCGACGCGTCAAGACGTTCGTCGCCATTGGTGATGAACTTTACAAGCGAAGTCCGTCGAGAGTACTCATGAAGTGCATCCCGACCGACCAAGGAAAACAGCTCCTCCTCGAGGTCCATGCCAGAACCTGCGGACATCATGCGGCCCCGAGG